AACGCCGGCGTGCGAGTCTGCGGCGAGCGAAGGCGCCTCCCGCCCCGCTCCGACACCTCGCGAGGAGCCGCCTCCCAGCGCCGCCCCGCCCGCCACGCCGCCGCCCTCGGACGCCGCCTCGGCTCCTCGCCGCGCCCGCCTCCCCGGCCGCACGGCGGGTTTGCTATCCTGCCCGCCCTGCTCCGCCTCTCGGCTGGCTCGGGCTTCGGCGGCGGCGTGCGACATCGCGCCCAAGCAGAGCTGCAGCAGCGGCTCGAGCACAGAGCCGCCCGACACGAGGCCGACGTCGCGAATCACCTACTCGCACGCCGCCCCACGTCCGGCCGTGACGCCGCCGGCGGGAGAAGGGGCCAAGCCTCTGCGGACCGCTCCGCCGACGGACACCTCGCACACCCTCAGCTCGCGAGGCCCTTCCCACTCCGCCTCGACGGCTGCCGCCGGGTCGAGCTCGCACAAGCGGCGCCACAGCTGCCACAGCCGCGCGAGCGCCTGCTGGCACACCGCAGCTGCGTGGGACTCTGCGCCGGGACGGAAAGGCGCGAACGACGCCGCCCGAGCGCCTCCCGCCCCGCGGCCGGGCAGTCGAGTCCCGCCGCCCCTCCTCGCCCCGCAGCGACCGCCTCGCCAGCCGCCGCGCCGCCGGTCGCACCGCCTCCTCCTCCGCCAGCCGCCGCGTCGTCCGCCGCGCGAACGACTTCGCCAGCCGCCGCACCCGCCTGCCCGGCTCCCGCCCCGCCGCAGCTGCCCGCCCGCTTCAGCCCTCCCCGCACCTCCCTCACGGCGGCGAGCTCGTCCTCGGCCGCCGCGAGCCTACGCGCACGGCTCCCTGGCGGCTCCTCGACGGCTCCCCGAAGCAGCGCCTCTCCCTCGGCCGCGTGCGAGCCGGAGGCGCAGCTCCCGGACTCGCTCCACCAGCTGGGCCTCGTCCGCGCGCAGACGCGTGGCGTACGCGGCGCGAAGCCGCGCCTCCTCCGCCGCCTCCTCCTCTCCCGCCGCGGCGATGCCGCGCCCTCCCTCGACGCTGCCGGCGGCCGCCGCCGCGCGAGAGGCGGCGGCACCAAGAGGAACCTGCGGCGCGGCGGCACGGGCTCAAGTTGCCGCACACTCGGTACCACAGTCGCTCGCGGTGCCACCGCGCCATTCCCGCCGCCCCAACCCTCGACCCGCCCCCACTCCCTCCTCACGCGCACCAGTCGCAGCCGAATGTGGACGCAGGCCGTGCTGAACCACGCTGCGAGGTTGTGCAGCCTCACGAGGGCGCTGCCGGTGTCGAGGCGCGCCGTCCCGTGAAGCTCGCCCTCGACGGTGAGGCCGAGTAGCTTCCGACGTCCTGCTGCATTGGCGCCACCAGCATATTCGACGCCGTCCTCCTCGCTGGCCCTCTCTGTGCGGCCGCCACCCTCGTCGCCGTCGCTTTCGGCCGCCGCTCCGAACCACAGCTCGAAGCCGAGAGACTGGCCGTCGGCACAGCGCACAGCGTACCTATCATCGCAGCATGATTCAATCCGGCAGAGGACGGTGGCGCTCACAGCAACGGGGCCGTCGGCCACCGCAATTCCGACGGCCACCAGATTCGCAGTGGCAGGTCCAGCTGCTGGCCAGGGCCGAGCAGAAGCGGCTCGTCGTCTGAGGTGCCGAGCAGCGCCTCCTGCTTTCCGGACGCGAGTCGCAGGCGCTCGAAGGTGGCGATGGCCGAAGGTGGAAGGGCGCGCCCAGCGAAGGAGGAAAAAATTGCAATGGCAGTCACTCACTGCCGCTGCTGCGGCCCGCCTGCTGGCTTCTGCTGCTGAGCCGTTCGCCCTCAGGCTCAGCCTGGCAGATGTCAAGGCGCGACTGCTCCACCCGACGCTTCTGGACCAGGTGCGCCGCATGCTCTACCTCGACTCCGTCTCGCAGGGCCTGTAAGAAGAGAACATGCTTAACCTGCAGACAGCTGGTGTGGACGAGAGCGCGTCTTCGTCTCACCCCTGGCTTGCGAGCGACGCCCAACCTGATGCCTGTCGTGGAGGACGACATCCTCGACGTGCGCGACGTGCTCGCACGCGTGCAGGGGAGCAGCATCAACACGTTCGAGGATGGCCCTCCGAAGGTGCACGTGGCAATCGTGCGTGACAACTCTGAATACTTCGCAATTGCGTGTGGCAGCTCAGCCTGCAGCACAATGCCACCCTGCGCCGTCACCGCCGAGAGCCGACTCCCCCGCCCCCTACCACGGAGGCAGGCTCGGGCGCGTGTGCTGCACACGAAGATGCCCTTCGAGCCGCCCGGCGAGGAGTTCAGCCACCCTTGCTACCTTAGAGCGTGACGATTGTGCTCGCCACATAAGATCTGTCCAAAATGGTGTACGAGCATGGCCGTGTTTAATATGAGTAGTTAGTTGTTAGTTAGTATGATATAGCTGTATGTGCCGACTTCGGTTGCTCGGCTTCGTGTTGTGCCGCTCCTGGAAGTGCGCGCATGTGTGCAGTTGATGTGTGTAGACGTTCACTACCTGTAGGGCTGGGCACCGTCTCCTGCTAGCGTTCCCTTTTTTGTCGATACCGGCTCCCTCCCCCCCCGACAGCGGGACTCTAGCTAGTGAGAGCAGCGATTGCTTTAAGCTGACACCGCTCTAAATCGCCGCTAGCCTGTGAGGAGCAGGTGAGGAGGGCGTCCATAGACACCTCACAAGACCCCGCACACGGTCTCGTCCCATGCCTTGCGGCCGGCGACGAGATTGCTAGAGGCGGAGCAAGCCTGCTCTAGTCTCACATGTTACTTCCTGTCGTCTGTTGTGTTGTTGTGCCCTTGTTTGTGTCCTTGGCACCGTGTGTGCTGGGGGGGGCGACAGGGAGGATGTGGCCCTGAGTTATGTGTACGCCAACTCAGGGTGTGTGGCAGCCCGCTGGCTGTGTGTCTTGTGAGCTTGTTTGTGTCTGTGTGTCGCTCGTGCGTGTCGTCATCATCTGTCTAGCGTCCACCCATACCGCGTTGATGTCCAGTCCGAGCCTGGCTGTTCTTCACCTTCCTACCTAACCTAACCTAGGCCTGCGGGTCGTACAGACTACAGTCTGTTGCGGGCATTAAGAAAACAGGGCATGAAGAAACCCTACCAAGCGATTTCCGCAAAAATCAAACCACGGCGCGCCGCAGGCGCGGCCCCAAGAAAGGGCCCACACACGAGTGTGAAGCTGTGAACAGGAGCCCCGCTCTAGGGTGCCCACAGGACCAAAAATAAAATATAGCTTTCCCTCAAGACCGCCGTGATCTACGACAAGAGGGACCGCGCCTCCCCGAGCTTAGTGAGGAGCCGACGGAGGGGGAGGGCGAGCCGAGAACGATAGAGAGGCCGCGGATGCGGGCGCGACTCGCCGACCAGGGAGAGCCGGCTCGACCTCCCTGGGAGGGGTGGCGACACGATCCAATGCCGCCATCCTCGCCCGGGGAGACCCCGGCCGGGCCGCCGACGCTCTCAGAGGCTGCGGTACCAGTCGAAGGCGAAGCGGAGTCGAGGCCACAGCCGAGGAAGAGGCACCAAAAACGACTACAGAGGCAGTCTGGTAACGCCCGGAAGGCGAGCAAGGGACCGGGACGAGCCGAGGGCTCGCCCCGACAGGCGAAGGAAGGTACTCTGGGACCGGAGTCGGGCGGGCGCACATGAGGCGTATCCGTGTACGTGCGTGGAGTACAGTGTTGTGTGTCCGTTAGCTCCGAGTAGAGGGGGCGTTCTGCAGTTAAGGGGAAACCCGGAGCGCAGAACCAACCCTCGGAGACCCGTGTTTACTTTACGGCCCTTTCCCTGCGAACGCGCACCCCCGGGGCTAGGGCTCTCTAGCCCGTAACCCGATACCGATCATCCGGCCCGCTGGGTGCGCTCCTTAGCTCCCCGGCCCTGGATGTGAGGTTGATGACTGCACTCCAAGTGCTCCAAAAGTGCTCCTCAAAAAAGGGACGCACGAGGCAAATCTGATGTTGGAGTGTTCCAATAGGAGCGAGGCCTCTTCCGTTGGGGGACCGAGTGACTAGGAAACGAGGGTTCTCTCCGCATGGGGAGCCCCGGGTACTCTTTATTTAGCTGTACTCGTCTAGGCAGGGGTTGGAATGAATGTATGGTGAGAAAAATCGCAGCATTCTTACCATCGTGGGATCGCTTGTCATGTGAGAGCTTGCGTTGTGTTCTGCCATTCGCTTTCTCTAACCACGCCATTCACAAGCAAGCACAGACAGTCGAGAAGGGAGAGACAGCAACGACAGTCAGAAGCCAGCGCTGGGTACCAGGAAGGCGAATGCGATGACGGCCTCTGGTGTGACCACGCCATTCACAGACCTTGTTATTGAGAATTCACAGGGATGTGTGAGTCGGCCGCTCCATACGGCCAGTGAGCTCCCTCTCAACAACAACCACCACGACCAAGATGACGCTGGACTACGTCGCGCTCACGAAAAAGTACTTTGAGGTCTGGAACGCGCACGACGTTGCTGGGATACAGGCGCTCCATGCGGCCGCGTCATCGCTGGACGACTGGGATGCGTCGCACGGCCCATCAAATGAGGCTGTCGCGAACGGCATATCCGGTATCTGGAGTGCGGTGCCCGAGATCAAGATCGAGGTCATTGATGTGTTCACCATGGGCGAAAAGTCATCCACGTGCGTCGCGCACATAAAGGTGATCGTGGATGCGACGACCACGCTGAAGGTTTGTGACGTGATCGAATATGATGCGAGTGGCCTGGTTGTCTCCCTCAAAGCCTACAAGGCCGACTGACTCAGCGCACATGGGAGCGAGTTAGAAGCGCGAGCCACGCAACATGTTTACGCATCGATTGTCTCGGCCCTGCCCCGCCGCCGCGCCCGGACTCAGCGGTCAGCGCGTGTCGTCAGAGCTCCATCGTCCATGCAAGATATATATTGTGTGATCTGCTGGTCGGAGAAAGGTCTCGAGAGCCTCGTAGATAGAATGATCATGCACAGTCTTACAAGTTGCATGCACATCTCACGCAACATCTTTTCGCACACAGGATCAGAGCAGCTCCCCTCGCAGCTCTCCGCGGAGCAAGTCCAGCGAGAGGCTCGCCACCACCACCTCCTCACCGAGCGCGCGCGGCGTCGGCAAGAAGACTGCGCCCTGCCAAGACGGCGTGGGGCCGAAGCGCGGGACGTCACCGCTCTCGGCGGTGGGGCCGGTGCGTATCAGCGCTGCCCCCGCCCCGGGCGCGTCGCCAAAGTCAAAGTCGACCCAGGCGACGAGCGCGTGCGCCGTCCCCGCCCGAGCCGTCAGCCGGACGCGCCCCTGCAGCAGCGCCGCGTCGCTCGCCGCGGGCAGGGCGGTCTCGCACCACGTCGCCGCCGGGCTCCGCGCGGCGTGCGAGTACTGCCAGAGCGGCAGCGACCGGCCCTCGCCCGTCGGGCGGCACAGCTTGTGAAGCGCCGCACGTCGAGCCCCGCCACGTCCCCCACTGGCGCGTGCCGCATCCACAGCGCGGAGCACTCGACGAGGCACGCCCGCAGCACGGCGCGGCAAGGCAGCATCGGCGCACCAAGCGCGACCATGCCGTGCGCCTCCGCCCACCGCCGCCTCCGCACGCACTCCCCAAGCTGCTCCCCGCCCCAGCACCGCTTCAGCGTCGCAAAGCTCGGCGCGATCACGACCGCGTCGAACCGCGGGCCGACGGCCAAAGGCGCGACGGAGGGCGGCGGGCTCGTGTCGGGGCCGGCGTCGCCGCCCTCGCCGCCGCCCTCACCCCTGTCGCTCTCGCCATCGCCGCTGTCGCTGGTCTCGCCGCCGCCGGCCTCTTGCCCCAGCGGCGCCTCGGCCAGGCCCGCCAGCAGCTTCACCTCGACGCGGCACGACGCGCCGGACGAGGCGACGAAGCGCGCCGAGAGGGTCCGCATCGGAGCGCTGCCCTCGGCACACACGCACTTGCCGACGCCCGCCCCCGCCCCCGCCAGGCGCTCGCCCGCCAGGCCCTCACTCGCCAGGATGCTCCACAGCGGCCCGTCGCCCGCGTCGAGCAGCCGAGGCGCCCCTCCCTCGCCGCCAGCCTTGGCACGCACGCGGCGCACAAAGGCGGCGGCGGCCGCGCGCGCGGCGGCGTAGTCGAGCCGGTTCAGTTCCTGGAGCCTCTCGTGACCCCACAGGCAGTGCATGCCGCACGTGCAGAATGGGCGCGCCGGCGCGTCCGCGCCCGGGTGCGGCGGCGAGGCGAGCGCGGGCGAGCCGCTGCGCAGCGCCATCCAGATCTCATGGTCGTCGAAGGCGACGTGCAGTTGCGTCGAGGCGGAGGCTGGGTCGGGAGCATGTGCGGGGAGGAGGAAGGCCGCCTGCATCCAGTGCTCCCGCTCAAAAGCCTCCTCCCAAGGGCTGGTGGACAGCTTGCGCAGCTCGCCGCCTCCCTCGCCGCCTCCCTCGCCGCCTCCCTCGCCGCCTCCCTCGCCGCCTCCCTCGCCGCCTCCCTCGCTGCCTCCCTCGCCGCCTCCCTCGCCGCCTCCCTCGCCGCCTCCCTCGCCGCCTCCCTCGCCGCCTCCCTCGCCGCCTCCGTCGCCGCCTCCCTCGCCGCCTCCCTCGCCGCCTCCCTCGCCGCCTCCCTCGCCGCCTCCCTCGCCGCCTCTCTCGCCGCCTCCCTCGCCGCCTCCGTCGCCGCCTCCCTCGCCGCCTCCGTCGCCGCCTCCCTCGCCGCCTCCCTCGCCGCCTCCCTCGCCCTCGAGCATAGTGCACTCCCACCAGGTCAGCAGTGCGTCGGCTCGCAGCCGGTCGTCCGACGGAGTTTGACCTGCGCCGCCGCCTGCCTTGGCCTGAGGCAGTGGCTGCGGCGGCGGGTGCTGCACTCCCGAGGCGGGGGGGCGGGTCATGTCGATGTCGACGGCTCGCACCGGGCCGCTCAGCGGCACCAGCTCCTCCTCGCGGATCAACGCCGACGCGCGCAGCTCAAAGAACTGCGGCCCGCCTGCGCACGCGCCCACGGCGGCCGGCACGCCGAGCACCGACGCGGCCGCGCCGCTCAGGTGCGCCGCGTCGCGGAGGAAGGTGCTGTGCACCGGCTGGACGAAGAGCGAGATTGACGACGGGACCGAGAGCGCGCCGTCCTCCAGCAGCTCGTGCCAGGCGTGGCGCAGGGCCGGCAGCAGCCCCTCGCCCAGCAGCCCAGAGTCGAGCAGCTCGTGGGTCATCAGCGACGCGCGGCGGCGACCCGACGCTTCCGTCGAGTGAGCGTTGATCACCTCGAGAGGCAGGGCGTTGTCGGCAGCCACCCGTTCTGCCAGCCGTGCCAACGCCGGCACGACCTCGAACGCCGTCACTGCTGCGCCCGCCCGTGCAGCGATCAGGCCGAGCAGGCCGCTGCCCGCGCCAATGTCAACCGCGTAAGGTTCCGAATCGGAGGAGTTCCGAATCCTCCTCACGGCTTCGGCGATGGCACGAGCGTAGGCCTCGTTGCGATCCGTGTCGTGCAGCATGTCGCGGTGGCCGTGGAAGCGCATATTGTGTCCACTCACGCACTTCCACAGCGCGGGCTCTCTCGGCTACGGGACCGGCCCCAGCTTCGGCTGAGGGCTGACAAGCACTTCCATGCCGGCGCACGCGGATTTCTTTTTATCCTATTTCTTTTCCACCTAATCCCGCAGCCAACTCCGAGTGAACTCTCAAGGGTCTCGAGTTGCCGGCGGAGCTAGCAGCTGCTCGGCGTCCTCTGTTCACACCAAGCCCTGTGCGAGCGGCCGGCCTGGGAAGAGACAGCCTCCTCTGCCCATGCAGGTCGAGATCCTGGACGCGCTGACCGACAATTTCATGTACCTCATCGTCGACGTTGCGACAAATACGGCGGCCGCAGTCGATCCGGCTGATGCGGAGGTGGCCGTCGCGGCGGCAGCCCGGCTCGGCGCGACCATCACTCACGTCCTCACGACACACCACCACTACGATCACGCCGGCGGCAACAACCAGATGAAGAAGCTGTGTCCCTCCGTCGAGGTCGTGGGCGGACGCGGTGAGAACGTCCAGGGGGCGACGCGCGAGGTCGCGGACAAGGAGTGTCTTCAACTCGGCGATGCCGTCACCATCACCGCCATCCACACTCCCGCCCACACCGCCGGTCACACCTCCTACCTGGCGAGCGCGCCCTCATCGTCTTCCGCTGTCTTCACGGGCGACGCGCTCTTCGTCGGCGGCTGCGGCCGCTTCTTCGAGGGAGGGCCGGAAGACATGTGCGAGACGATGCGGAGGCTCTCTGCGCTGCCGCGCGAGGCGCTCGTGTACGCGGGCCACGAGTACACGGTCAAGAACCTGCAGTTCGCGCTGGAGGTGGAGCCCGGGAACAGCGCCGCGCAGCAGAAGATCCAGTGGGCGGAGGCGCGGCGAGCCTCTTCCGAGCCGACCGTCCCCTCGACAGTGGGCGACGAGCTGCGCTTCAACCCGTTCATGCGTGTCGCCGTCCCTGAGGTGCGCGCCTACTGCGGCGCCGCCGACGACGACGTGACGTGCATGCGCCGGCTGCGCAACAAGAAGGACAACTTTGCAGGCTCGTCGCGCCCGTGGGTCCCTGGCGGAGGCCCGCTGCCGGGCTTGTGACCAGCTTGTGAGTTGTCGCGGGTCGTCGTGGGTCAGGGTCACAGCGTTCGGCGCGTTCGCGATTTGAGGGCGCGCGGGCGGACTGCGTTGCGCGCGTCGAAGGTGGAATTATCACAAAGCGGAAACACACGATTTTTTACACCCTCCGTGTGTGGCTCCGAAGGCGGCGAGGTCAACGTACGTACACATTACACACAACGCGCGCACATGGGCACAGGATGTAAGTCAGGATGTGGGGTACTGAATGCTGAATGCTCAACGTGGGACAACGTACAACGTTCCGCTACGTTCTAGTCAACGTTTTGCAGTCATCGAAATATCTGTCTTTCTTAGAGATTGAGAGGAGAGAGAGATATTTGTTGTTGAGAGGAGTGAGACCTGAAGATTTCAGGGCAGATCTCAGTCTCTAGTCCCGCGGCCCTTGAGATCTCCCAAAAGCCAAATCTTCGTCGAGACGGTTCAGCCACGAGATGCACGAAATCTCAGTCTTCCCGTCGCTCGGTGTGAGTTTCTAGAGGAAACGCGTGCACTTGGAGCACTTGGAGTGCAGTCATCAGCCTCACATCCAGGGCCGGGGAGCTGAGAAGCGCACCCAGCGGGCCGGATGATCGGGATCGGGTTGCGGGCAAGAGAGCCCTAGCCCTGGGGGGCGCGCGTTCGCAGGGAAAGGGCCATAAAGTAAACACAGGTCTCCGAGGGTTGGTTCTGCGCTTTGGGTGTCCCCTAGCGGCGGAACGCCCCCTCTACTCGGAGCTAGTAGACACGGGAGGGTGGCGGGGGTGAGGGCGGAGGGCTTGGTGGGGATGGAGAGGGCGGTGGGGACGGTGGCGGCGGCAAGGGCGGAGGCGGCGACGGAGGGAGTGGAGAGGGTGGAGGCGGAGAGGGTGGCGGTGGCGAAGGCAGTGGCGGAGAAGGGGGAGGGCTTGGCGGCGGAGAAGAGGGCGGCGGAGGAGAGGGTGGTGGTGGAGGAGAGGGTGGTGGTGGAGAGGGCGGCGGAGGAGAGGGCGGCGGCGGTGCAGGCGGCGGAGGAGACGGCGGCGGTGGAGAGGGGGGCGGGAGCGAGGGAGGAGGGCTTGGTGGAGGAGGAGAGGGCGACGGCGGCGACGGAGGAGATGGAGAGGGTGGCGGCGGAGAGGGCGATTGCGAAGAGGGCGGCGGCGGAGACGGTGGTGGCGGAGAGGGAGGCGGAGGTGAGGGCGGCGGGCTTGGTGGCGGCGGCTGCTGGGCTGCTGCGGGCGGCGGCGGCTGCTGGGCTGCCGCTGGCACCTCATCCTCATCGCTTTCATCACTACTGTCGATGAGGTTGCTCACAGGCATGGCCCAGAGGTATCCTCGGGG